AGGCGTTGCGAAACTGAAATGACATTTGTCACCCGTAGACCTGTAGGTCCCATTGTAGTAAGCAGCAAGGTGTGGGGTGTCAAACCCAATATAGATCTATATACAAGTATCATGTTCTCCCTCCAGGAGACTCTGATTATAACTACCAGGAATTATATTCCGCACTCGGACGTACGGAACGAGATTGTCTCACAATTTAGGTTAACAAGTTTACGTGTAATGTGTATGAGTGTGAACCCTTTTCTGTATGAATGTACCCTTTTTATACGAGTGTGTTATGCAATGTATCATAAACTATACCGATTATAGTTTATCTAAAATGTTTGTAATATGTTAGAACTGTTTTATGGAAATGCATTAGTGTTTTGAATCCATTAAACTATACTTTTTATAATTTAATATACGTGTTTTAAATGAATGAATAATCTTATCATGAATGACTTAGTTTTAGTTTATGATGATAAACTAACAAGGAAACACATTCAATAATTAGAACTTATGATTATACACTTTGCTCAACATAATACAAAGTGTTATGATATTTATATGCTGTTAACTAACTTTAACCTTTCTGCACTGTTTTGGAAAAATCATAGAAAAATCATACGAAGTCGAAAACTAGATCCGTAAATTCGGAGAGTTCCCAAAATGTGTCTAGTTTACTCATAATTTTTATCATGATTTTTGGAAGCCTTTAACTTGTATTAAAATGCTCATATTCACAGACTGGTCCGGATTTGTGTTTGAAAAGATAGGCTGTTTTGTAAAAATCACCATAAATTGTAGAAAAATCGTGTGGAGATGTGCAAGTAGTCATTTTTATGGTAAGAAGTTGAAATACTTGCACCTAGAACATTTTTGAAAACTAAAATGTTTTAGTTGTCCAAAACAGTCCGTGAATGGAGTTGAACTTTTCTGATGGAGGCTGTTAGAAAAGTTTAGTTATGTTCTTGGTGTTTTAACTTGTATTCCCCCCTTAAAACTTGAGAAAACATTAAAATGTAGGGGTATGAACTTACCTTAAGTGATTTCAGTAGATGATTGTTGAATAATGGAAGTGTTTAACTCAAGAACACTTGGAGATGCCTTGAAGATTTTCGAGAATCTAACATCATAGTTATGGAGTTTGTGTAAGCAATCAATGATTTGAGCAGAATGAAGTGCAATAATCACAAGGAGGATGAATTATATTTACCAAGAGTGGAAGAACACTTGATAATCAGCCTTGGAGACTTGAAATGGAGAGAAAAAGTTTGAGAGAAAAGTGGTGTTTGATTCTTGGTGAAATGAGAGCAAATGAGAGAAGTGAGGAGAGAGGATGTTTTGTTCCAGCTCTAAAAATGTGGGAATGGGTGGTAATTGAGTGTAAGGGACATTGAAGTGACCTAGGTAAGGTGGGGAGGTGTGGCTGGTCATAGAGCGGGTGTGGGGGTGGTTGCTTGTGACATAAGATAAAGCAAAGTCAACACTCCACCTCTTTGTACTTTACCCACTAGCTTTTATTATTTAAATAAAGGTTTTCATGAAAATATGATTAAATTGAGAATATTTAGGGTTCATTATGTTAAAATATGATTTTGGGTGAAATTCCCATGTTAAAATAATTAAAAACGGTCCTTAAACGCAAAACTACGCGAAAACCGGGAGAAAGTGGGTTTCCAGCGAGACCTCTTGGTCCTAGGCCGAGGTTCGGTCCTCGCTATGGCCGAATCTGTAATGAAGTGAAACAGAGGGAAGTGAAGGGAGCGAACCGGAAGTGAGAGGCGACGGCGAGAGGCTCGGTCCGAAGTCTTGGAAGCGAAATAGGCCGAAGGTGGTCAGACCCGAAATGGACCGAATGAACAGTACCTTCGGGTTCGGTTCTTCCTGGGCGAGGTTCGGCCCTGAGAGGACCTTCGGGTTCGGTTCCTCCTTGGTCTCAGGTTTGGTTCCTCCTTGATCTCGGGTTCGGTTCCTCCTTGGTCTCGGGTTCGGTTCCTCCTTGGTCTCGGTCCCTAAGAGGACTTTCGGGTCCTAAGAGGCTTCGGCTCTTATAAGGAGGTTTCGGTTCCTAGGGTCCATTTTTCTCGTTTTTACCCCGTTTTAAGCCGTTTTTGACCCGGTTAAGGGTTGGGATGGCCCGAAAGACTATAAAAAGTCCAAGGAACTTTTGAGAGAGATTTGAGAGATATGTCACATGCTTGGAGAGATTTGGGAGAGATTTGACATTCTTGGAGAGATTCCTCATACAAAGAGATATTTGAGAGAGATTTCACATACTTGGAGAGATTTGGGAGAGATTTGACATTCTTGGAGAGATTCCTCATACAAAGAGATATTTGAGAGATATTTCACATACTTGGAGAGATTTGGGAGAAATTTGACATAGAGAGAGATAGAGTGAAAACGATTGAGAGAGGTTCCTTATGTGACAATTGTGAGTGTTTGGCTCTGCAACGCAAGGTTCTTGAGCCCCGTTAAGTCATGATTAAGGATCCTACACACTCCCGATGAGTATGCAAGATGGTTTTATCAGTTTAGTTCATTGATTAGCACTAAGGCTCAGGAAATTTTAACACAAGAACTTTTCCCAAGTGATGTTTTCCCATTAATATAGCAAGTTATACAGTATGTACATAACACAAACCCTAATACACAAGGTTTAGTCGAGTTGACCGGTTTGACTTGATGACTTGACTTGACTCTAGATTGACGATTGTCACAGCTACTCACTGAGTTCCTTGCATAACTCGCCAACTCGTCAAGTCACTAGAGTGACATGTTGAGTTCCTAAGGTTTGCGGTCGTAAACTCCTTGTCCAACTCGTTGAGTTTCCCTTGAAACTCGCCGAGTTCATACATGTCCAAAGGTTGGGAAAACCCTAGCCGAATCGCCGAGTCACCCATCTAACTCGCCGAGCCCATGACAATCTTCATCGGACTCGCCGAGTTGACCATGCAACTCGTTGATTCCCTTTAGTCCTTCATCCATACAGATGCTTTTTAAGTCATGCAAAGGCTACATATTATAGATCCAACTTCCCAAGGCATGCTTATCACATAGAGTTGCAACTTTACTAATGAAGTGTTGAATCGAGAAAAGTAAAGTAAAATCAGAGTAATGAAAATATGAACACTGAATGTAAATAGGATTTGGTTTCAGCTCATATTATGCTTTCAATGTTATAGAGAGAAAAGTAGACAATATCACTCAAAGTTCTTATCTAATTCTAAGTAACTCTGCTATTTATAGGAGAACACAAAGCATACAAAAAATTATAAAGGACTAGTCATTAAGTATCGACACAAACTGCCTTTATAAAATAACATTACATATTTCGACATATTTCAATCTAACTTCGACCTCTACAATCCCCCCCCCCCTTTAATCAATGTCGAAATTCAGTTGATTAAAAGTTGACCATATGTATTGTTCTTCGAATTTCAGCAGACCAACTCATCACTTTCTTCAGTTCGTATAGTATGCAGTAGAATATCTTTCAACTTCACAAGTTTGGAAAAAGTACTTCATTGAATTTCCCTTCTTACTTTTCCCAACAAAAATAACTCTAAATGGTTTCAGACAAATTTCGCCATCAACAAACTTCTTCATTTGCGCTTCATTAAACACTTTTTCCATTGGAGCAGTTATCTGTTTTCCAACTGAAGCAGCCAGCTCTACATCAGTCAATGCTAGACAATTATAATAATTGTCTATAAACACTTTGATGTGACCATGTCCTAGATGTAGATCATCTTTGTTGGTATTTTGAAGTCTTGAAGCATCTATGTCTTTAAGCATGTAAGCCACTTGAATCAAATCATTCAGGTTCATCAAGGGAAAATCGGCAATAGAAAAATCAAAAGGACCCTTGTTAGCCCTTATTACATGATAACAAAAGTTTTGTAACATATTCTCAAATAGTTCACCTTTCGAAATGTCGGGAACTTGTTTGATTTTCACCAAAGACCACACATCCTTCTGATCTTTTCCCATAACAGCATGAAACCTTAGTTTCATGTGTATAAAATCTTCCTTATTCTTAAAATTTTACACCACCTTGTATTGTGCAGAAAGAAATAACATCTCGTTGACTGGGAAATCAAGTTGATTCAAATTAGAATTTTCGATAGAATAACTTTTCACAGGCTTTTTCTCGAACTCGTACATCTCATTGAAAGAAACTCTGGATTCAATATTCTCATAGCTATGCAGCTTCCTTGGATCTCCCTTATTTAAATTCAGAGGATCATTTTGTCGTAGCCTCATAACACTTGCAATCTGTCTTTGAAGATCCATTCAGCCTCAATTTCAACCTTTCTTTCTTCTTTGGATTTTTCAATGAGAATTTTCTTTCCTCTGTCTTGTATTACATGAGCTTCCTTTAGCTTCGACTGAATTCCCCCTTCACCAAATGAACCAATTACAATCGCCTTCGTTATTGGACTTATTGTTACAACAGTTGAGATTACTAGCTGAACTCTCGATACAACTGGTTTCGAAATCTGGGTAGTGTACACTTTGCCAACAACCTTCACTTCTTCATTAATCACACCGGATGGACCTTATCCTTTACTAACCTTTGCTTGTTCTCCTCCTTGCACCCCTGTATTAATAGGTGGGGCATTTGTTGGTAAAAGACTGAGATCTCATGATAATGTTGCCAATTGTTTGTGAACAACAGATTCGAACAACAGAAATTTCTGAGATAAAAATTCTGGTGTGATAAGAGGAGATGAACCAAGCTTTGAGATTAGTTCTTTCAACTCATTTAACAAAGTTGTTATCTCTGTGAAGCTTTTACTGTCATTGGTAGATAGTTGGGTAATTTGAGGACTCAATACTTCGTATAATTTGACAAACTTCGTCACCACATCTGCAATAATATCCACCTTCTGATTGAGTGATGCATAGTTTTGTTGTGTTGTAGCAATCTCTTTATTCATGTCTTCATGCAGTTCTTGAAGTTTAAGATTAACATCCTCCCTTACCTTCTTAACATCTTGAACAAACAAGAAATGTCATTCTTTAGCAATCGTTTTTAAATCTTTGACTTTGCGATTGAAAGTTGAGGACTGAGATTTGATCCTGAGTTCATTGTTCTTGTCATTGGCATCCATCTTCTCAAGAAGACGAGATTCAGAATCTTGAATTTGGCTAGAGAATCTGTTGAACAAATTAGCTTCGTGTACTTTGAGCATCACATCCACATCAACACTGGACACATAATTGCTTCCCCTAACATCTGCTTGTGATTGAATGATCGAGTTAAGCTTCTTATTCAAAATCCTGAATTGTTTCCCTGACATCAACATGTGATCCGGGATGTCTTCTTCTTGATTAAACTCAAGTGCATCAAAAGTGACTCCAAATCCTCCATCATCAGTGTTAGTATCATCAATGGATTTTGGTGGATCAGTAGATTGGGAAGAGAATAGAGATGTGAAAGGTTGATTGAGAATTTGAGTAAATGTTGGTGAAGATAAAATTGGATGTGTAGGAATAATAAAGGGTGGTAATGAAACAAGGGTACTGACTGTAGAAGTTTCGATATTACCTTTAGTGACCATAGGAAATTCTTGATTCGACTCTCCTTCACCCATAGTGACATTTACAACCGTATTAGATATGTGTGTAAGAATATCAGAGGTTCGAACCTCCTCATAAGATGACTTGGTTAACAAAACCTCAGGTGAAATAATTTTAGTTTGCTCAGGAGTCAAAAGACTTTTTGAAAGTACAGCTTCAGGAGTTTTGAGAACTTCTTCTTCTTCGGAAGATACTTTTTGAAGGACCAAGTTTTGCTTTTTAATCTTCTTCGAAATATGATTTGCCATATCGGTAGCTATTCTTTTCTTTGATAATGGGGACACAGGAGCTTGAACTTCGCAAATAATAACTCATTTGCGAGTAACATGAGGCTTGCGAGTGAATGAATGAGAAAAATTGGAAGACCTTTCAGGAGACATTCGATAAGGATGATCTTTCTACTTGATTCAATTAAGGACTCCAGACTTAGAAGGAATATTCTCTGTATGAGTTTCGACAGCTACAGTCTCAACAACCTCAGTTGTAGTAGTAGTCGATTTCTCAGCCTTCTTAGGTATTCAATATTTCTTTGAAGACCCTGTATCAGGTTTAGCCAACAAAACACCAGTTTCTTCATCTGGATTGATCGAAGCCAAATATGTCATCAATACAGAACTGGTTGGATCAACACGCTTAAGCATAACATCTGGAATTCTTGCTACATTTGGATAGACTTCTGCATCACATTCAAACTCCTTTGGAAAATTGTATTTTAAAAACTCAACAGTTTGTTCTTCAGCAGGCACCTCAATCCCTTCCTTTTCATACATGTATCGAAGAATTAAAGTCCAGTACCTAGCCCAAGATATCCCTTAAACAACATTGGTATTCTCAAAACTCTTTAGAAACTCTTTCCACATCTAATTTGAATAATCCACTGCAAGATCATAATAAATTCCTACAGTCATAACATACACTTCCATTCTTCGTTTGTCTAATCCAACACTTCGACTAGTAAGGCATCGGAGAAAAGTACCAAAAAGGAAGTTCTAGATAGAAGGAAGACCATAATTTTTAAACCGGTTGATCTTGGTAAGTGGGGGTTGATGACCTATTTCATTGAACATGTAAATAACTTGATCATTCGAGATAACACAGTATGGTGGAGAATTAGGAATTTCTAGAATTTGACAAAGCAGTTTCTTGGTAAGACAAACCTTCTTGTCCTTTACCAAGTTGAAGCTAATAACATCAAGAGCTTTACTATACGTTGCTGTAGATCCTACTAGAGATATCCAGGTCAATGGAACACCAAAAGAATTGAACATTACCGTAGATAAAACAGAGTATTTTAAGGCTATGATCAACATTTGCAGTGCTTCAGGGTACACAGATACATCACCCTTAACTTGATAATTTGTGCTCTAAATTTCTATAATCGGTTCGGAACAAACATCTTCAGTTGTTTGTGATTGAACATCGGCTAGGGTAGGATTTGCCATGATTAAGGTTTAAAGTGTGAAGAATAAGCAAAAATAGCTTTGGGAAATTTGAGAATTTTCTTTAGAAAGCGTAACCGAATGAATAACCTGTAACTCCTGAATTTGAATATAAAGCGGGATAACAATAAATGAGATCCGACGTGGCACCTTGAAAATTGCACCCTATCGCCGATAAACTAGCCACGCATGAAAAAGCAACCATCACATCTCCTTGAAACCTAGAAGGAATACAAACCGTCTTATCAAATAGCTTGTTTGTACATCCCAATAGAATAGTAACCATCACAAACCTTCGGTATGGAAGTAAGGCTCTTTCATTTTTTGGGATGAAAAGCGAAGTCATATGTCAGACTGTCGAAATCATCAGCCTGAGTTGGTAATACTCCATGTAGGGTTTCAAAGCACTCCATGAATGATAGGAATGGGCCCCTTTGATGAATTGTAGGTTAAAAGCCCAAGACTTGTCTTTTCCCTATAAATAGTCATGTATTATTCATTATTAGGGTTCAGAGAGAGGCAAAATGTAGCCGCCACATTGTGAGGTTTCTTATGTAGTGTTAGATTCTTTAGTCTATGCTTAAAGTGTAATTCATTCCTCATATTTTCAATAAATTGAGTGATCATTCGACATAATCTTCATATTTGTGTTTGTTCTTATTTTCCGCATCTTGTTCATCAAATCTCAATTAGGGATTTAATCCTAACAAGTGGTATCAGAGCGGGTCTTGGAAGATCTATTGATTTTTGAAGTATCGGTTCTTGATTTGGTGATTTTCTGCACATATATTGAAGATTATTGGTGTTTTGGTGGTATGGAATCAAAACTCTATTCAAGTTACTGTTCATGGAAATTTATGTTGTTCATCTACTGTTCATCTGGTATTATTTCAATCTGATTCATTCTTCTGTTCATATTGGATATGTTTGCTCACTTAATCCAAAAATCAATTGATTTTAGTTATTTGTTTTGACCTAATTGGATCCATGTGTATATTTTTTGTGTCCCAAAATCTTGGCCATTCCACTGTTCATGATCCATATTTCCAATCTTATCTCAAGCTCCTGTAAGCGTCACATGCAATTGATTTAATTCATTCAGTATTCGATTCTAAATCTACAATTGATTATTTTTTGTTAATCGTCTTTGGTTAATGGTTTCAACGTGTAAACATAAATTCTCAAGAATCGATTTTTGTTTGTCTTAATCCAAAATCTTGTTTTTCATCAATTTTCTCATTACTGTTCTTATCGACAATTTCATTTCATGATTATTAATTTGATTCATGTCAAACTTGGAAATCGATGATGATCCTTGAGTGAAATCGATATTTGGAGAATCGATTTTATGTTTGTTGAATGCAAATCTTTAAAGTCATGTGATGAACTGTTAACGAACGGATGAACAACGATGTGTGTCAATTTTGGATGGTAAAAATTGAAAAGAAAAAAATAAAAAACATCTAAAATCTGGATGATGTAATCATTGTGGAAGTATTCAGTGTTTTTGTTCACAATCACTTGTTAGTTTACCAATCACAATTTGGTAATTGCATTTGGAATTGCCTTAACGTCCTATTCGCATTGCCAAGTAGATCTCTTAACAGGTGCTTAATACAACCATAAAGAATGATGTTGAATTTGCAACCTTACCTGTGAACGAATGAAATCAAGCATACAAATTATGTAGTGTGATAATCATACGAAGATTGGATGGACAGAACTCAGTTTGCTTTTTTAATAATCAAAATCAGAAAAGTCAAAATTGGAATGTGAGAACGGTGTTCTCATCTGTGAATGTGATTGGAAAGCAGTTGGGTTTTGTTTATGAATGCAAAACGATGTTGAAGATTCAATTTGCTTCTCCAAATTTCAAATAAGCTGTTTCACAATTTGATGCTTCGCAGTTCTTATTTTTCACAGTGTAATGAGTCTTGGAATCGGACATGTATCTGGCAGTGATGTTCAGGGCAATGGAATCGTGATTGGGATTCTGGGTACTTCAAATCATCAATTTAGGTTGGAAGGTTTTGCTGCTAACAATATTGGATTCGAATATCCCTCCTGCGAATGAAATCAGGACTAAAATGGAAGAACACAAGTCAAACAAAAATTCAAAATTTGACTGTGATTCACATCAGCGTCATGAATGACTAATTTGGAATGAATGTCCTTACCTGAGAATGGAATCGTTCTCATCTGGTATGTCGTTGATCAAATTTGTGAATGGATCATCCTGCGAAAGTTCGTGATGTCAGTGAAACGAGCATGTGCTTGAAATGTTGGGGCTTAATGTAACACCATATTCTTCAAGTGTTAATTATGAGTCCCTGAGATTTAAGAGAAAGGTAGTTCTGGTCCCTTTCGAGAAATGAGTTTCATCCGAGAAGGTTTCGGGTGGGTGTATGTGTTAGAAGTATTGGGCTTCTCGTCACCCTCGTATGAATGTAAAGTTATTTGAGAGTGGGTTTAGATTAGAGGAGTTGCGGTGCCTCGAAGTTGATCATTGTTTATAGTCCTTTGTGGAATAAGAAGGACATGGTCCCATGCATGCATGGCATGCATGCATGCTTTTGGTTTTGAAAGGTGGCTGGGTACACCCAGCGTAAGCTGGACGTACGCCCAGTGTAATGGGACGGAAGGTTGCGGGTGGCCAGGTGAGTATGCCCAGCGTACCAGGGAGGTACGCCCAGCGTACTCTCAGAAACCCCAAACCCTATTTTTAGGGTCAACCACTATATAAGGAACATGTTGGTTCACCCCTCAGCCTCCTTATGCTCATCTTCAACCTCAGAGAAACCCTAATCTCGTATTCCCTCCATATTTGAGTGTGTCTGATCTTGGAAAGCTCTTGTTGGCAAAAGAAAGGCTTGAAGGAGAAAAGGGAAGTTGTCAAAGAAGAGGAAGAACGTGTGGAGCTTGTAGATCTGAAGAAATACCACCCTTTGGAGCTGGTTTAAGGTATAAAGTTTCTTGCTTGACCTTCATATGGCATGGATCTATGTATTTTGAAGCTTTGTCTCCATTCTTGTCCCAAAAGTCTTCATCTTGTTGCATAGTTCGATTTGGTCAAGTGTATCTGTCCTTTCAGACCTTTGGAGAGGTCTTGAGTGATAAAAATGAGGTCCCAAGGGCTGTAGTTGTTCCATGTATGAGATATATAGGTCTTAATGGATTAAGACCTTGGATTAAGAGCCTAAGGACGTCCCAAGTGATGAAGTCTGAGACTTTATGATTTCTAATCATATTTGGCCTATGGATCTAAAGTTTGGGCTTAAGAGCTTAAGGCATTAAGTTGTTAAAAAGGACTTATTGGATCTCGCAGTTACGCCCCGCGTAACCTTCGAGTACGCCCCGCGTAGCGGGCCAGTGCCCCGTTTCATTTTGGCGATCATTGCAGTACGCCCAGCGTACCAAGGAGAGTACGCCCAGCGTACTCCTCCTGTGGACTTCCTTTTGGAATTTTGTGTTGGGCCATTTGTGGGTTGTTGGTGTTTGGACCAAGTCTGGAAATTATGAATAGAGTATTTTGGGCCTTATTAATATTATGAATATTGGATCTAGGCCCATTTGGTGAGGTGGGCCCAATTTGGTAAATTGGGCCAATGTTGGACTTTGTGTGAGATTTGGACTTTGGTCTTGTCCCGATAAGTGGAAGTATGTTCGACCTAATGCTTATGCTTGTTATGTTGGTTAGTTCGGGATTTGCGGTGAGTTGGTGGTTCGAGAGTCTGCTTCTTCGGTTCAGAGTATCGGTAATCGCGAGGTGAGTTATCCTCACTATATCAATAGGGTCTAAGGCACCAAGG